AATTTAGATACGGCCGAAAACCACCTAATCCTAGTGCAAAAACATTTTGTCGAAAAACGTAATTTTTTTCGAAATTGACGTGTTTCCATTGAGCAAATTTATTTTAGAAATTCTAATCTGCACATTTTCATGGTGAATGGAAACACAGCTAATGTGACAGGGCTTTAGAGGAGCAAGGCCGATGTTCTGCACAGCTGTTAGTTTTTCTTTAGTGCTAGCAAAACATTTCATGAACCAGCAGAAAGATTTTTAAAATAGAAAATAATCACTGGATGTTCATCTAGAAGTGACAAACTTTTAAAGTCAATCCAATTTAAAACAGCAGCAAACTGATCTTAAAACAATTTGTAAACTGAATTTTGCTGTGCTATAAGCTGATCATCCTCAAAACATAGAAGTGAGATTGTGCATGATGATCCTAGTTAAAATTGCTGACATTAAGTGCAGCAGGTGTTTATATATAAACTATGGACAATCATGGACAAACCAACATTATTAACCAAGTAAAGCTTTCATAAAAAGCATTACAGTAGGATTTAATCCCTTTAATTTTCCTCCTACTTAGACTTAATTTGGACCACTTAACTGAGGTGCAGTGATGTTGGTGACAGGATATTTTCTTTGTTATTTATCAGTTTTACATTTTAAAACCAGCAACACTGGATAAAACTATGATGTATAAAACATAGATGTAATAAACTGATTTTTCTTTCTGGGACAGGTTTTTCATAAAGAACAGAAAAAGAAATAGGATAGTTAATCCAAATGTACAGCATGGTAACAGTTTGTAATGTAGCTGCACAGAGACACTGATAACACTAAATATTAGATTAATATGGTGCGTTGAATGTATTTGTCAAACGTGACTGATCTGAGTCATCTAAGGGGAAAAATGAAGAGGAAAACACGTGACAGTAGGCAGACCTAATTACCCAGGGGTGAACAAGTTGTTTGGTGGTATCCAGGTAAACACAAAGACTCAAGGGAGGGGCCTGACTCAGCTATAATATAAAGCCCTAATCGTAAAAGTAGTGAAGGACAAACTGATGTAAGAAAAGGCTGATATGCTTTGAACCAAACTGTCTTTTTCTAGTTTCTTCTCTGGGAGGTTTTGATCTCTGTAGCAAACATTAACGTCTCTGAATACCAACCTGTCAGAGCCAAGGAGGCGGAAGACTCTGCTTGGATCAGAAATCTCCTGAGTCACCTAGAAATGAAAGCAAATAAAGACTTTAATGCCAACTGATCTGCAGATACACAGGTGTTAAAACAGATTTTATTAAGACGATGAAGATTCAACTCCACAAGAACAAGTCTGTAGGAAAAAATGTGATGTTTAAAATGGTTTGTCTGAATAAACAGGAACCAGCTGGATTTCTTCTCAAAATTTATTCTTAATTTTCTGACTCCAATCAGGTTCACAGCACAGCACCCAGGCCTCAGTAATGCTACGTTCACACCAAACACGTTGTGCGCCTCCAAAAATCTCAAAATGCAAGCATCTTGATGCTGGACAGACRCATTCACAGACCAGAACAAGAAGAAGCAGCAGCAGCGGCGGCAGCAGGGTGTGGGAGGAGCATCTGCCCTCGGCGGGTGAAATAAAGATAAAATAAATAAAATGGCTTTGTTTTAATTACTAAAGAGCAAGCAAACGTTGCGCACAGCAGATAATTAACTCACCAGATGATTTAGAGACGATTTGTTCGGTTAGTTTCGCCGCTCCAGAAGCTGCCAGCTGACGGACCTTTTTTTTTTGTCTGGACCAGCTGACCCACATCGGCACTTATATATCCAGCCAGAAAATCCAACTGCAAATGGTCGGTTTCAGGTAAAGATCTCCTGTTCGTCTGTTTTGGTTTAGTGGGCAACATTCAGGAAACTGTCGCGTGGAAAAATGAGTCTCTCGGATTGGTTGATGCGATATATCGAGCAGCAAAAGTTCAGATTTTCTAACTCAAGCAGCGGACGCTTGGGAAGAGCTGCGCGTGCGCTGCTCCAAACGCACCAGAATACCAACCTGTCAGCTTCTAGATGCCCCTAGATGCGCGTCCACCATTGACTTTGCATGTAAACCAGATGCTCAAAACACGTTTGGTGTGAACGTACCATTAGACCTTGAGCTGAACCAAAACAAAACACAGCAGACCTGCACCACACTAACAACTTCCCTCTGTTATAATAATGAATTGAGCTTATAATGTACATCTCTTCCTGGTTACACCTCTGGAGGTGTTAACTTTTACATCAGATGTAGAACCTAACTCATTTTGTTTAGGCTAAAGAAAGAATACATAAGACACACACCAACTCTTTGTCTGCTTTAACCTTAAAGGGATCCATGATTAGTTGTAACATTAGACTTTACTTAGTAAACAATATTTTAACTGTAAAATAAAGACTGTAAAAATACTGTAGGCTGTTTAGTTTTTATAATTTCTTAACTAAAATTTTAAAAATATATTATACAAACAGAGCCATTTTATTTACACGCAAAGCATTCTGGGTAAATGATGACATGGATAGGTC